ATATTGATCAGCAGCATCTTCTTCCCCAACAGGTGATAAATTTATTAGTAACCATTCAGGCTTCCCCAGCTTTAGGCAATTGTCTTCTTAAGAATTATGGTATTTATTCATTGGAGGATAATAAGACAAGGGAAAAAGTCAAATCATTTTGCCTGTAATTTGCAGTCATTTCACATAGAGAGAGGCTTCACAGAGAATGGAACTGAGGTTCAAATATTATATAATGGCCTCTATTTTGCATAAGATTGTGAATACTTTTTTTATAAGATGCACTTTATTTATGAACAGGTCCTTCCATAAGAAGGAGCTTGTTAGGGTTTAATGCTGATGAATGGAGACAGCACCATTCACACTTCCAGGTTATGGCTTGTCAGTGCTTTCATTATGTGTACTAATTTACAAGGATTTATTATTTTCTCACAAATATAGAAATGTGCTCCAAGCTAAACATGCTTGTATGGGCTTCTGAGCCTAATGTTCAATTTGATGGAGGTGGAGGGGCGTGAAGACTCAAGCCATTCTGTACTAGTCTTCCACCACCAACAACCCCACCCACTGGCTTCACTGTCCAAATTAGTGCATATATATATATATATATATATATATATATATATATCCATCTTTGAAAATGAATGATGGTTAAAATTTTAAACCATAGAAATGATTTTCTTACACAAAGACTGTGCCTTCAATTGGATTTTGAGTGCTAATGAAAACACTGTCAGTAAGCACATCATTTGTTCACATTATGACTACAATACTGTGTACAACTGTTTGGAGATCTGGGTACCACAATAGCAAACTATGAATGGAAACTGAATCTGCAGATCCAGATCCTGCGAGCCTCAGTTGGCTTTGAGTAATATAAAATCACTCACATCTCCATCTCTGAAGAATAATATTTAAAATATACTGGGTATGTGTCAATTAGTACCACTCAGTCTAACAGGCAATAATTGATCGTAGGATATTATCATTATCCTTGGATTATAACAGTGTTCGTTGTGGGAGGGAAAATCTCATGATGCTGAACAAAAATAATTCTCCTTTTCCTGCCTAGCTTTCCAATGTGATTTTTACCTTTAGTAAAAAGTAAGTACCCATTGTACCACACCAGGGAAGAGTTTATAAAACTAGTTGTTTAGGGAATTTATTTGCTTGCTCATTGGTTGGTTGGTTGGTTGGTTGGTTGGTTGGTTGGTTGGTTGGTTGGTTGGCTGGCTGGCTGGCTGGCTGGCTTGCTGGCTGGCTGGCTTACTATTAAGGGAAAGAAAGTAAGAGTAAAGTATATACATATAAAATATGCCTGGGTACAGCTACAAAGCACCTATCCAACAATTTCCTCAAAGCCCTTTCTAGTATGTCTTTTTAAAGCCAAGTGTAAGTGTAGCTCAATCAAATTTAATCAAAGAGTCTCAAGGAAAAAAAAAATGTGAGTTTGAATTTTGGACCATGATAAAAAGAAGCTTTCTACACAAGTATATGAAAAGGGAATAATCTACAATCAACAGAATGTACCCTGAAGGAAAAAGTATAGTAGTGAGTATTTAATAAGCTCAGATGTATTTCAAAGAGCACTCAACTGTAGAACTCAGCTGATATGGAGAGAGAGAGAGAGAGAGAGAGAGAGAGAGAGAGAGAGAGAGAGAGAGAGAGAGATTCAAATGTTTAGAATTTCACAAAAATTAAAAATGGGAAAACCATGTAAAGTCCAAGGTTGTCCTCTCTGATTAACCAAAACATCACACTAATGGTGTTAAGATATGTGACAGTTAAGGAATAGAATTGCCCTTCCTTGTTATCATAAAGATGCAGGCTTCTTGTTCCAGGTGTGATATGAAATGCCCCCCAAAGATCCAGCTGGTAAAGGTTCTGTATCCAACTTGGCTACATTTGGAGGTAGTGGAAATTTTAAGAAGTGGGGACTAGTAAGAGGTTTTCTTGTTGCTGAGATGCTGTTCTCGAAAAGGACCATGGGACCCAGCTCCTTTCTCCTGGCCATAAGCTAAGACCTTCTTTCACAACATGCTCCTTCAATGATGTAAACAAAAGCAATGGGACTACATACCAAAGGCAATGGGACCCAGTGACCATAGATTGGAAGCCCCAAAACTCTGAGCCAAAATAAACCTTTCCCCTTTTTAAGGTGATCATTTCAGATATTTTGTTATAGTACACAAATCTGACACACATCCTCCAAATAAATTGTTTAACAGTACATTTATTCCTCTGTACCTTCCTGTGAATGTGCTCAAATTTTCAGAGGATCATATCCTCTATGTTTATTAATTCCTAGTAAGAACAAAATCTTGGTTTATCTTAACATCTGTTACCTACTAGAGTTTTAGAGTAGTCCTATTCATCTTAGTTTCAGAATATGCAGAATCTTTGTCCCTTGGCCACCAAATGGCCTAGCACAGCGAAATTCAATATGTTTGGTAAGTGACCCATGATTACATACTTTGAGTATATCTCCCCAGGACTGAGTCTTGATCTTTCAAACAGCTAAATTTTATCTTCAAATAAGATAGTCCTGAATCATAGGCCTATGACAAACTGACAATTTTAAAAACACACATACACACACACACACACACACACACACACACACACACACAAGCACCCACCCCAAAATAAAAAGCATAGGTTCCCCTTAGTTTATTTTCAACTAGAATGTTCTGGAGAGGAAATAAATATTCACATATCCTCATCATTTGACTTGACTCTATCTTGTTTATAAACCTCCTTAAAGGTTCCTGCGTCTTTATATATGATAAAGGAAATTATTGACATAGAATTTTCTTGTTTATATATGCTAGTTTCCTTGGCGACTTCAAAGAAATATAGATAACTTTTGAGGTATTTAAGAGAAGTTATAATGAATCTATAAACTTTATAGATGTTAAGGATTAATACTTCATAGGAGTAGCTGGGTTAAAGTATATGCTAGAGCCAAGTTTTATTAATAACTTCCTGCCAATTAATTAGTTCATTTAAAAGCAGTTTATTAAGTTGGCTTTATGAATTACGTTTACAAAAGTTCATGCTTTTCTAGGAAAATTAGCTTGTATGTGTATGTTGTATTGTTTAAAAGAATATACTTGTTGGTGCAGAAGATTCTAACTTTAACATATGCTCAGTGAATTTCATCAGGTCTGAATCAGGGGGAGATGAACGAAGACTAAATTGAAGACCGTTTATCAGCAGTTTTACTCTCCACAGCTTCAGTTATCCATCATCAACCATAGTCAAAACATATGAAAGAAAAAATGTAATATTAATAATTCAGAATTTTTAACTTGCTTGTCGCTCTGCGTAGCATGTTAAAATCTTATTTCATCATGTGGCATCCCTCTAGGATGGAACCATCCTCTAGCCAGCATTTGCTCAGTATATTTCTACCTTCACATTGCTCACATGTTAGCCATCTCTGCCACCAGACCAACTGCTAAAGAATTGTAATTCTTGTGCTTCAGTAACCCTTGTGTATTAGCATAATGCTGTGCCATAATTCCTGCATAATTCACTTCACTTTATCTCATCACATAGGCAATGCATCATCTCACATCTTCGTGAGAAGGATGAGTATAGCACAAGAAGATATTTTGAGAGACTACATTTACATATATTTTGTTACAATATACTTTCATAATTGTACTATTTTATTATCTCTTACTGTGCTTAATCTATAAATTAAACTTTATCACAGGTAGGTATGTATAGTAACACACACACACACACACACACACACACACATTCCAATACTATCCATGGTTTTAGGAATTCTCTTACAGCTGTTACAGTCCTGGAATATATTCCCCCCACATAAAGGTGACTGTTGCAATGCCATGTGGTTGTTTTTAAGAGCACTATCAAAAGCACCAAAGGAAATGAAAGTTGAGTCATTTGTTCTTTATGGATGGATGATGCTTACTTTAAAATTTTATTTTATTTTATTTTATTTTATTTTATTTTATTTTGAAGAGTAAAAAGAAAGGCAAAAGCAAATAGCAGAAACAAGGTAACAGAAAACTAGAGTGTCACTCAGTTATAAAGGAAGACAAACTTGATGCTTTACTATATATTATTTCATCTGATACAACAAAGCGTATAGCAACCAATGCATCCCCATTTGTCAAGGACTTCCAAGATTGTAAAATAAAGCCCTGCCTCAGTCTTGCTAACCCTGAATAGTTGGTTACCTTGGGCAGATAAGGAAGATAATCTTTTCCCATTTTACCACAAGGAAACTGAAATTTTGAAACAATGAATCAGTCAAAGTCATATCGGTTGTAAGTGATGTATTCAGTATTAGAACCCAAACCTTTTAATTTCTATTTTGATATGCTTTCCAGAAACCAGGATGTAATTAACACAGGGCTTAAAAACCACTGTGAACATTTTATGGGCTCTTATTTTTCTAGAATCTTAACTATTCTGTGTAATGGCACACTTTGCTCTGCAACATCCCTCTTAATAGATAATACAGACAAAAGCACTTATCTCAGTTTCTTAGAATTATTATATACTTTATTAACTGAGGGTGAATTGATGAACATAATTCTAATATATTCCTAGTCAATTTACTAATGCAATTTTAAAAATAAGCAATAACCTTTGTAAAAGAAATTACGTTACTTACCCTGTTTTCCTATCTTTATTTGTAATAAATTTTCTTAGTACATTTTTTGATATAGAACAAATATATGCATTATGGAAAATGGGTACAAATACTTATCACAAGAGTACTTTTTCCATTTGCTGAGATAAGCAAATATCAATGGGGAATAAATGTAAAACTGGATAAGATTTCTTTTCAAAACATGAAGTAAATGTGTCTCAAAAAAATCTGTCTTATTACTGTCCTGTCTGTGCTAAGCAAAACTGAATGCATATTTCTTTAAAATGCCTTTCCACCTATATGGTTTCTTTCGAAATACTGATCTTAGTGCACATATGGCCCGCTAGCCCACTAATGCTCATTTGCTCTTTCCCAACAGGCATCACAGTTGATAGGCATGGATTCATTTACTTTGTGGATGGGACTATGATTCGGAAAATTGATGAGAATGCTATGATCACAACTGTAATCGGCTCGAACGGTCTGACTTCCACACAGCCACTGAGCTGTGACTCAGGAATGGACATCACTCAGGTAGGCACCACTGGTTCGCAAGCATTATCACCATTTGGCATCATGGAAATGGATAACAATTTTCTCATACAGAAATTAGGTAGAATGAAAGCCTGGTGCAGCTGTTATAATGCAAAATAGTAGAAGTTTCTCTTTATGTAATTTACTTTTTTCCTCCTCAGAAAATATTTTCTAAGAGAAATGCTAAGCTAGGATATGAGTAATGCTAGGTAAAGAGTTGAAGTAACAATTAAAGGCTCCCAAAATTGAATCAATTAAAGGATAAGGTAAATCTTGTTTCTTGAATATTTTCCAAAATACATAATTTTTATTTTAAAATGAAATAATTCAAATATTGACAAGTACTTACTATTACAAAATGTCTCTATATATCTCTTTAATCACTATGTAGGCATGGCTTGTTCTTCATGGGTGCATGTGGAGGTATTTCTAAGATGTCATAGCATTTTTCTTAAGTAAAAGAAACCACTCCAAGGTCTGTTTCACATTTATTTACCAAAACTTTTGGCCAGTGAGAAAAAAGTTAGTGCAGCTCTTATTTGGGTCCTAAATTCTGATTTTACAACCATTCTACAAAATCAGTATAACATATATGTAGAGACTATAGAATATACTTCATGTTCCACAACTCAATGGATGTCTTTCTAGTCTGAAGAAACAGAGGTTGGTATGTAAAATAGAGGAAATACACTAGACAGTCCTTGAAAGGACTTCCATGCTCCAACATTCCATAAATAAGTTACTCTAAAGAAGTAGACTATATCATCTTTCCAAAAGAATTAAAATAGATGTCTAAGAGCCGGTAAGATAGCTCGGCAGACTAAGCGCCTGCTTTGACAAGCACAGGAACCAGGGTTCAATCCCTGGTCCTACATGCTGTGCCAGCCCCACCCCCAGGGCATGTTGAGCCAGCAACCGAGTCTGGGAGTGGTGACACACTCCTGTAATAGCACTGGGGTGGCTGAAAACAGCAGGATCACTAGGAGTTCGAGCTGCATAATGACACCCTGAACCAAATACATAAAAATGAAAAAATAAAATAGATGTTTAGAGTTTTATTGAAAGTAATTTTTAAAATAAGACTACATTATCTAACATAATGAGATGCCCGAACATAGGCAAAGATACCAGTAGGTTTCCATCTCTTGTCAGGTTGGCCAGAATTGAATGACATGTGCACACCCTTGCTAGTCATTAGCAAAAAGAAAATGCTATCTTCATAATGGATCCAGACCCCCTGAAACTGAGTCATCTGCCTTGAGTATATTGCTACCTGATTCTTGAACCAAAATCAAAGATTGGTTAGCAAGGGATCTAGGGTTGTTGTTATGTAGGCAGCTATGGATGGAATATTCCTGTTGCTTCATTCATCTTTCCACCTAAAGCCTAGAATAACAAGAAAAGTAAAATTGACACATTCTCCAGAAATGTGGGATTAGTCACTACCTCTAGTATCTCTCCCACCTCTACCCAACATGAGTATTCTGTAAAACATTAAAGGTGTGCCTATTTGAGATTTGTCCTTCTGTTTGTGCCTCTGCTTTTCCTAGAACTCAGGGAATTGCCAAGTCTAAACAATTATAAGAATAAAATCAAGAGTTGGCAGGCCAGAAAAGCAAACAAAATGAACAAATAACTCTTAATAGATTAGAGTGCTTCAGAGTGTCAAGGTCTAGAGCAGTCTAACTTTTCCATTATTCAAAATCCTGAAGAAGTAGAAGGAACATTATTTATGATTATAATGAAGGTTAGGAATATATGTATATAGGGGAGAGGGAAAGATGCATATATATGATTCATTTGTGGGACCTTTTTTAACATAAGACAAGTAGTGTGATTACCAACTCTAAATAACTTAACTGCTTCTGTGAAGAAAAGTTGTACTGAATAGAGAATTCTTTGTCTAAATAGAACAAACATCTGACCCTCACCACCATGCCAAGGGCTTCTTTCCACATGCCACTTTCCAAGCATAACTGCCAGTGTGAAAACTACCTCATGTCTTCTGGTTTGGAATGTACTGTAGATTGTACCTTCTTGGAACATGTATAGTAAGTGCTCAGCAAACACAACTAATATACACACCTGCACCAAAAGGACATTTTGGGAAAATAATTTGGAGAAGTAGTGAGAAATAAAACTAGAAAGGTAAGTGGGTTTGAAATGGTGTAGGACACTATGTGCATGATAGAGTTGTTATTTTATCACAGTGGAAAATGAGGAACCAGTTATAACATTAACTGAAGAAATGTATTTTAAGATAGAAATGTAGCTATTGGATAGATAATAGAGTGAAGAAAAACAGTGCTAGAGGCAGTGGCTACTTAAAAGGTACTTTTAGTAATGTAAATATTACAGGAACAGGGGCCGGGGAGATGGTTCAGTGGAATAAGTGCTTCTCTGGCGAGTGCAAGGGCCTGAGTTCAATCCCCAGTTCCCAAAAAAAAAAAAAAAATACAGGAACAAAATATATAAATACAGCAATGATTAGCACCATTTCATAAAATTGTAATGTAAATGAAGTTGTTTTCCTATGTTATTTTGGATGTTTATCTGATACTTCTTTGGACTACAACTCTTCCATGAAACAGACTTGACACTGTTCAGTTTTATGAACTTACATGGGCAGATAACGAGGACAGCTGAACATAAAGTATGACAGTATGGATTGAAAGAAACAGATAGATTAGAGAAATATGACATCTAAAATCAAAGAACTCATTAACTGACATAACTTTAAACTGAAGGATATGCATGGATGATAATACTACCCACTATATACAGAATATAGGAAGAGAAGGAGGTTGAGCAGCTGATGGATGATAGGTTCAATACGGCATATATTGAAATTTTAGTACCTGTGTGGCAACCAGGTAAAGATGGGCAAGTGGATCTATGTCTAAAGCTCAAGATCTGAAATTCAGATTAGATTTATTATTATTGGTTCATGTGTGATAGTTGAAAATGGTTGAATAAATAAGATTTCCTAAGGAGGGTACGTAGCATAAAAAAAGAGAGAAGACTTTAAGACTAAACTAAGGAACAGTAATATTCAAGGGAAAGTTGAGGCACGGAAACCCACAAAGGAGGCTGACAGGAAGAGACTTGATAATTAACAAATCACCAAGATGTTATGTGGACCCCCCCAAAAAAATGCAAGGGAATCAAGATTTTCAGGGTCAGTATCATCATATTTGGAGGTCATTTGAAAACTAAGGATTTTTTTAAAAAATTTAAGTCATTTGATTTTACAGCATGAGTAATTCTCATACAAGTACTTTGGGTAGAGTGATAATTAATGGTAGCTGGACTGCAGTGGTAGAGTGGGAAGTGAGGAAAAATAGAAAGTAAAAATAGATCATGCCTTTCAGATGTTTAGCTGAGAAGGGGAGGCTTTGGCTTTGAAAACAATAAGCTCCCAGGTGTGAGGAAATCAGCATGCAGGTGGGGCACAGATGGACAAAAGCTGGAGAACAATGAATAAAATCAGATGGGTAAGTGGATAGAGTACTTCCCATAGGGAGCCCGTATGTGGCACAGCTGCCTAGATGCTCAGCCATTATGACCAGAACTTTCCGTCTGTTTAGACAACTGTGGCAGACTGGTGACTGATGTTTCCCATGATTGTACTTAAGAACATTGGCTGTCTTTAGTTAGAAAAAAGAAAGCTGAGAAGGGATCTTCATAACACCTTCCAAGAGCAAAGGCTCAGTTGTTTACAGTAGTACTTACAGTGATCCAGCTGAGCTTACTTAGTGTTCAGTTTCTTATTCAGTAAATCAAAATATATTGATGGATGAGGGCAGAGACAAATGTCTAAATAAGAGCGTGTGGTTTTTGCTGACAGGAACAGACAGGAGAAAAAATAGATGCCAGTGCTGCAGCATGAAGATGTGAATCAGACTTTAAGAAGAGCCTAGTGTTTCTAAGACTATTGCAGCACAAAACATTGTGCAAAGATCCCACCTTTTGAAACTTTTCAAGAAACATAGGATAACAATAATCTATCTGTGGTTGACCTCCAGGGCTTTCTCAAAGCAGGAAGAGGGATTCTGTGGTGGTTCCTCTGTAGAAATATAACTATATTCCTAAAGCTCTTGTTACTCTTCTCTACATTTCAAGACATAAAGATCTTCAGCAAGAGTGGTCTTACCTATGCTGGTATAGTACTGATGGAGGGTGGCCACTAATGTGCCAGAATGGTCCTCTTGCCCTTATTTTCATTAGTCTTCTGCACTTTCTGAGACTAAATGGAGCCTTAGACACAATCCTCAATTACCTGTATTAATCTTCAGCACAACACAATGTCCTCTAGTTAATAACTGCTACCATTTATTGGGTTTGCTACTTGCCAGGGACTGTATTGAGACTCTTTATTCGCACTGTTCCATTTTATCTCTACAACACAACCAGCCTGAGAAGGAAGTACGATTATTCTCATTTACAAGGGAGCAAACTGAGGTGGTCAGATGGTCAGGAAAATTATGTAATGTACCATGACCATAGAGTTATTAAGTGATATAGATAAGATTCAATTTAAGCTTGCTGACCTAATTGTACATTTTTCTAATATCCACATTTTTGGTCACAATTAAAGTTGAACAAATACTATTATATTTATCTTAGTTGCAAATACCATTTGGTTGGGGAATGTGCTGTTTATTAAAAAAGGTGTGTGTCTGTGGCACTAAAGAAATAGTTTAATAAAATCTAATCATCTCAGGAAGTGAAATTTGCATGGACAATAAAATCAGCCATTTATTCAAAATCAATATTGTTTTTCCTGAAATACTTTTGATATAAACTCTAAAGCACAATTCCCTTTCTAAACATTGCTATAAACAACCAGGCTATATTGCATAACCATAATCCCAGCTCTCTGGGACACTGAGGCAGGAGGATCACAAGTTCAAATCCAGCCTGGGCAACTTATTTGTTGTCATTGTTGTTATTGTTGTTGTTGTTTTATGTATTTAGTACAGGGTCTGCAGAGTCTCACG